CATCCTGTTTCCTTTATCACTGTGGAGTTCGCCGCGTCGCCTGATAGTTTTCTTTCCTCTTGTCTTTCCGCGTTGGAATGCAAAAATAGGCCATATAAGAATCGGAATGAGCCATACTCATTTATCGTATTGTCCACCAGGTAAGCTGATAAAAGTCTATTTTCTCCTCAATACTGATGGTTGGCTTGACCTAAGCTAACTAATTTTTCGACGAATTAGGGTCATTACAGCTAGGAAACTCTATTTAATTGTTCACCGCTTAAATATTAGCCCAGTTGCTCGGCTCGGGATTTAATACCCTCCAGTTACGAGCGGGTAGATCTGACTTGAAGCGCCTGATAATATCAATACTCTTCGCTCCTCATCGAGATGATTCTGAAGTCGACAGCTCTCAGTTTCTCTCCGGCACAGCCTTAGCCCAGGCAGTCAACCGCCGCTTTATTACATAAACGCCCGGGACCTCACATCATCGCACGCCACGATTTTGGGTAGGATTCAATCGAGTATTCCTTTACCTTTGCATGACTATTTGGTAGGTATTTTGTTTTTCATAAATGCGTTTATCGTAAAGCCTACTTTAGGGTGCCTTCCGACACGAAATATTGCAAAGCATCTGACTATTTTGTTGCAAAGCATAGTATATCAAAGTAGTGGAAATCGAAAATTGAAATTTCCTCATTGTTTTGCACTAAGCAGGTTTGTATACACTTGTTATAATGTAGAATTAGAAAGCATCAGATAAATGCATTTGAAAAATAAACTTAATCAAAAGTAGAAAATAACAAAAATTTAACAAGCGCAAATCAAACTGCGGAAATGAGCTCAATTGGAGTGAAAAAGCTACAGAGGTAGAAAGTGTTTCCAAACAAAAGGGAAAGTAAAATTTATTAAAAAGAAATTTATAAGCAAATTGAATAAAAATGTAAGTGAAAAGCATTATCCCGCGAACAAGTGATGCGACAGGACGTCTACGTCTGCTTAAGTGGCCGCGATTGGGTACTGAGGTAAGCACAACCTGCCCTTCAGCTGTGCGCTTGACGCACATCACACCACCCCAAAATGTCACTCAAGGCACTAAAGAATTACATTGCGGTGTAAAGTATTTCTTGGAGAAACCAAAAAAGTTGCGACAAAAAAGCCAATGAAAATTACTAAACAAGTGAATTGAAAGAAAAACGCGAGCAACGACAACGTCGTCTTCCATTAAAAACCAAACAAAAATAATATCTTCATTCCTCCTCCCCGACCAACAGATAAGAAAATAAATACCAATAAAAACTAAGCAAACAAAATATACGCACACGCACTCCTACACACCGCCTACCCGTACACACACAACCACACACACACACACACTCGCAACACACAATGCTGCGTAGCTGTGTGTGTTTGGGTGGTGGCGCGAAACGACGTAGCTCCTCGCTAGAGGATACCTCATCGTGCCGGTCATCCGAAATTGAACGTGTGGCCAAACGCATGGAGACCATGACCGTCTATACGAAAACCACATCGACCGCAAAAACGACAACCACAACAACAAGCAAATTACAGCAGCAGCAGCAGCAACAGCAACAGTTGCAGCAAAGCAACGGCAGCGGCCGCAGTACCACTTCCAGTCTATTGCAGTTCTTCCAATCGAAAACGTGGTACCGGCATTGGCGAAAAACGGAACGCTCAATGAGCATGTCAAAGACCGAACGAAGTGAGTCATAGTTGTTAAGAATATTTGCACATGCATATAACAGTAAATACAGTACATACATATATGTATGTATGTATACACATTTTAAAGTATTTAATTGAAATGAGTGAAAGGAATGACGTGATAGGTGCATGGAAGGCGAATACTTTGATTGGGCGCATAAAAATGCCAGTTGATTAAATTGAGTTAATAGTACGCCTAAGCAATCAAAGTTTATGGTTGGGTTGATATGGAATTCTTCGCGTCCGGTGCGAAGCAAAGTAAATATTTATTTGTTTAATAAAACCTATTTTCGTATAAATACCACTGAAGGTACTAAATTTAGCAAGCTGCCTAAATACATAAAGCTCAAGTGACGCGTGAAGCGAGTTGATTATAAACGCCGTGTTTGTACGAGTACTTATTATAACAATAATAATATTAATGAAAAATTAGGCGGACAGTGTAGGCAAGGGACATTACTATGAAGGTGAAACTAAGCTACAGCTGGTATACGTAACTAAAAATAGGCAGTTAAATATGCGGGTATTTAATATTTATAACTAATAAATATATATGTTCCATATGAATATTTACTGTAGTACACCTGCTGACTTTTTGGACATGTCAAAAGCAGCGGTAAAAATAAGATTTATAAGCACATGGCAAGTCTAAATAAAGAAGGAAACAACTGTGCATTATATACAGGGGCAAAAATATAAATAGGGAAGAGACATTTTTGCATTCCCTTTCTATTATTTAATGTTTATTGTTTTTTTTTATAAAAAAAACATGTAAGTCAAAATTTCAAATTTTGTACAGAAATTATAAAAATTCGACAAAGGTTCATCAAAATTTTGCGCTTTTTATATATATATTTTAAGCAGCTAGGTCTTACCGTTGATTTTTGGCAAATTTTTTTTCGTCGAAGGTGTTGCTCATATCCTCCATACAAAGAAAAATTGTCGAACATATTTTGTATGGAAGAAAAAAATTGCCAAAAATCAATGGTAAATCCTAGCTAGTTTAGACTTGCACTACATCATAAACTTAATGGGCTACAAAACTGCATTCTAAAAAATCCGATTAAAAAGTTTAAAATTGTGATCAACATTAGTTAAAATGTAAAGTTGTAAATTTAGATTTACCTTTCTTCTTTTAATTTCGTGAATAAATAGTAAACAATTTTTAAACAAAGAAAAGTAGCCAAAACGTGTTAAAATGGCTTTTCCCTATTTGCATTCTCGCCACTGTACGTTGCACAAGTACGTCACGTCATGACGCGTCATGCGGCTAGTATTGCATGAATGTTGCGCATACGCCATGTCCGACCCAGTTGTGTAAAAAAATAAATGAAATTAGCTGTGCGTATTGAGGGATGGAAACGCAAAAAAATATGACGTAGTTGAAAAAATGACGACAGATCGGTGCTTTTTGCATTTACATCGTTAGTTTAGAGGTGATTGGTTGGTACTAAAGTGCTGCACAAGCGCACTTGGTTTCATCTGAACAATAAAGTGACATATTGTCTAGACCAGTGGTTTTCAAACTTTTAGAAGCCGCGACCCCTTAGCTTCATAAAAAAGGTTGTTTCGTACGAGGAGTGAAAACATGGGCGCCCCATTAAAATCTTCTTTATCACAAAGAGGTGAGGTGGTTGTCCAAGGAAAATGTGATATTGAATTGAGATCGGAATTCAATATTCAGACATTTTTAGTCAGTTGAATATCTCAAACGAGTGTTTGCAACGGAGAGGCGATTACATCATGCCAAAGATAAACTAAAAGAATTTAATAAAAAAAAATTGAAATATGGTCAATTTCTCTACAACAACTGCAATTTGATTCATCCGATTAATTGGTGAGCGATTGTATTCCTTAGCATGATTGAAAACCAATGGTCTGGACACAATTTTTTATCACTTACAGCAACGAGGAAGAAAGTACACCAACGGGCAACACTTTTTCACGACCCCTTCAGGATTTCTTCGGTATTGTACGGGATTTTTTTTAAATATATTTTTTGGGTTTCTTCAGGGCCGCTTGGGTGTGTTTCATGGTTTTCCGAGATGGTTGATGATTTTTACATTTTCGGCTAAGGATAATCGTTATTTTTAGATTTTTATTTTTTCAACAATTTTTATTGAGCTCGAGGCCGTTTTTTAATGAAAATTTATTGTGGAAAAGCAACAATAATTTGAAAAAATGGTAGAAGTGATAGCTATTTCGGAAATCACCACATTTACTCATCAGACTTCTTTCATACATTTTTTATTTTTTCATACATTTTTGATTTTTATTTTTATGTGGTCATATTAAGACCCTTATTTTCGGATTTAAGCTTTTAGATCATGCAATATTTAAATCGGTCATAAATTATCAACAAAAAATTCAAATCCGAAAATAGATTAGTTACTATCGTAAAAATAAAATTACAAAACAAGTAATTTTTAGCAAAAAAAAACCGACTTCAACTCTCATATAAAAAAAAACAAATATATATATATATATCTCATGATCCACTGATCGGGTCTTAACCAGATTATTATGGGACCACTTCTGAAACACTACCTTTCCGATGCAAAAAGAATTATCGAAATCGGTTGACGTGATCCAAAGTTATGCGGAAAAATAATAAATAATAGAAAAAAATAATAATGAAATATCTGTCTTCTACCGATTATTTTGTTTTGCTTTGCTGTTCCTTATATATTGCCACTATATTCACTTGTATATTCGTTTTTTATATGGATGATAAACGTCCTGGGCGATGGGTTTAGGATTATGACAGTTCTACCCTACTACAAAGTTTGCCTAGAAAATACTCTTTTACAAAGATTCATTTTTCGTGTAAACTAGTGTAATTTTAATATGTTTTATTATTTTACAAATGTTCACTAAAATAGATTAATACCAATGTAGAAAATGTGATTTATGCTCAAAGTTTAAAATTGGATTAATAATTAAAAAAATATATATTTTTGTTATTTTCTTACTACGTACATAAGGTATATTTTTTAAAAAGTTGGCCTGAATTTTCAATTCACATTTATGGCCACCGCACATTTAACGGTATTTTCGAAAAATGCAAAAACTACGATATTTCAGTAAATATTGGATGCAAATTGTTGAAAATCAGTATGTGAAGTAGAATTGTGGTCAAAAATAATATTATTATGAAGTTTTTGGAAAATCGGTGTGAGCCCGCCCACTTATGATGAAATACTGTATCTCAGTAGTCGCTTCACCGATCCTAGCTAAGAAACCTGTTGAAAATCTTTGAAATCGGGCAATAACCTCGCCCATCCCATATAACAGTAATTTATAGAAACACGAAAGCAGCGATAAATCAGTGACTACTGAAGCTTATTCACTTAAATCGATGACTGCAATAACCACTTAGCAGAAAATTAGATTATTATAGATTTTTGGATAATGGGCGTGATACCGCCCCTTATGACAAAAAATGTGTGTCTCGAATGACCGAACTTGGTTCAATTATATATTTAAGTCTACTAACTATAATTACCCTGCTTATCATGCAATGGTAGTTTAGAGAAAGTTGAAACGACGATATTTGATACCTGTGCATGGTGTATAAAGTTGTTTACTTGTTTTCTTTGTTTTATTTCATATTTTTAATTGTTTGGATATGAAGATCGAAAGTGTCTTTAGAAAATAGAAGATAACGAAAAGAAATCTGAAATTGAGAACCACTTAAACCATTTCTTCAAACTGGCACCAGAATATGATAATCAATTAAACGGGTTTTCTGAAGAGTGTTGTTGGTTAACGAAAACTTCCAAATTAAATTTAAATTCCGGATTTTGCACTTTCGATGAAGTTGAAGAAATTGCAAATGGGCTTAACTTAAAAGATATCTATACATATAATAAAATTGTAACAGGTCGATGTCTGTACATTATAGATATTAAAGAAAAATTAATGTGGGGTGTGTTTATTAGAGCACCAGAAGCCAAATCAACCATTTTTAGAATTTTTGTCTGTCTGTCTGTATGTTTGTTCGCGCATCACTCGAAAACGAATGCATGGATTTGAATGCAGTTTT